GAGTAGTAGTAGCAGTAATAGCAGTAGTAACAGCAGTAGCAGTAGTATAAGCTGTAGTAGCATCACTAGTAAGAGTAGTAGTAGCAGTAGTAGCAGTAGTAGCAGTAACAACAGTAGTAGTTGCAGTAGTAGAAGCTGTAGTAGCATCACTAGTAAGAGTGGTAGCATCAGTAGTAAGAGTAGTAGTAGCAGTAATAGCAGTAGTAGTAACAGCAGTAGCAGCAGCAATAGCAGTAGTAGCAGTAACAACAGTAGTAGTCTCAGTAGCAGAGTTAGTAGCAGTAGTAGCAGCAGAGATGGCGGTAGTAGTGGTGGCAGTAGCAGTGTAATAATTGGTCATTTTTCTGTGGCAGCATTAATAATTTGAACAGCAGGAGAAAGCGCTCCTGATGAGGTCACCTGGGTCACCCCCGCAGTGCAGACACCGATAGCAGTGATGCTGTCCTCTGTTCAGCGCAGGGGGGGTGGGGGGATAAGACACACAGGAGACAGCAGGACCGTCTCTGCGGGTCAGGGATCCAGCGCCAAATTGATTTGCACCGCCATCAGATTGCTGGCAACCCTGGATTCCTCCCAAAAAACATCTGGGTGAGACGCTCGGATCAATTAACCACTGACAGGCCAGACAGCCTCGTGTCTGCCACCGGTTTGTTATGATGCAGGGCAGAGAGCACACCGGCAGCGACGCTGGCCCATAACCCAGTGAAATGGGGCCTGAGGCAGAGAAAAAGGCCATTTCTACCAGCATAAGAGACGAGCTGTAGGTTAAAGGCGATATGAGGCTGGATCTGGGACCAGACTCTGGGATGACGTGACATTCCCTTGAACTGATGAGAAAGTTTTGCAGTCACACGTTGGCAAAGAACCCACAATGCATTGCAGCAATCGGTGCCCTACAGGCCCCGGGTTCAATTCCGGACCCGGGGTGCCGTCTGTGTGGAGTTCGCATGTTCTCCCCGGGTTTGTGTGGGTTTTCATCTGGGTGCTCTGGTTTCCTTCCACCATCTTAAAACATGCTGGTGGGTTGACTGGGTTCTGAGATAAATTGGCCCTGGTGTGTGTGTGTGTGTGTCCTTATGATGGACTGGCCCTGGTGTGAGTGTGTGTGTGTCCAATGATGGACTGGCCCTGGTGTGAGTGTGTGTGTGTCCTGTGATGGACTGGCCCTGGTGTGAGTGTGTGTGTGTCCTGTGATGGACTGGCCCTGGTGTGAGTGTGTGTGTGTCTGTGTGTGTCCTGTAATGGACTGACCCCG